ATGAACATCCTCGCACATCTGCTACATTTGTGTGTGACTTCTGGACCCCGGCTACTTCTCAAAGCACGGTTCCTAGGCCAACAGCATCACTGTCAAGTGGGAGCCTGCCAGAGATTCCACATCTTGGCTCCCACCCCAGACCGGCTGAATCAGAATCTGCATCTTAACAAGCTCCTCCTGTGAGTCAAGTGCACATTAGTGTCTGAGAAACACTGGTCTAGAACAGGACTTTTCAAACTGTGAGTGGTTTTGGAGATTAATGAAGTGGGTTGGCCCTATCCTTAAAAGGAATGAAATGGAACAGAGTAGAACAGAGAACGTCAGAGCCAGTGTCGGGCTCACTGTTTTCAACTTCTCACTGTCTCCCTATAATACTATTACGTGTCTATGCCCTTGACCTTGTTGCTTTGCTGAGTCTCCCACTGAAGTCAAGAATGTAGAGTCAGCCCTGCCCCACCGAGGCTGGGCCTGGCCATGTGACTTGCTTTGGCCAATAGAATGCTGGTGGATGTGATGTGAGCAGAGGACTTAAGAGTGCTTGTGTGGTCTGGTCTGGCCTTTGTCCTTCTACCTGACACCGTGAAAAGAGCAGGACCTGTGTTGCTGCTGGTCCTTTGATGCAGGACAGCCTGGGGCTAAGCCCAGCCAATCCACACTCGTGGGGAAAATACTGCTGTTGCAGCTGCTGAGATCTGGGGGGCTGTTTGTTACGCAGCACTATCACAGCAAAAGGCTAGTACATGTAGTGATGGTGAGGAGTGTTGTGTGAAACTTCTGACTCAGTTGTGCATGCATGTGTGTATGTTTCAGCTCTGACTCTCAATGTATAATATACTTATTCCTGTGCATTACAGTCAAGAAAGACTGTGATGTATAGCAGCACTATCTGACAGAACTTTCTAGAATAATGAAAATGTTTTACACACTGTACAGTACAGTAGCCACCAGCCGCATGTGGCTATTTAGCACTTGACTTATGGCTAGAGAGACAGAGGACCTGAATTTTAAATTTTATTTTATGTTAATTAGCTTAAATTTAAATAGTCACATGTGGCTAGTGGCTATTGTATTGGACAGTGCAGTTCTAGAATACACACCTACAAGTAGAGTTCTCAGGTTGCATGGAATACACATCCTCAACTCTATATTAGAGATTGCCAACTTACCCTCCAGCGTAGATGACACAGCTTATACCTCACCAGCAGTGCATAAGAACACTAATGCTAGGG